TAAATATGCGTAATAAATCAAGTATTGTAATAATAAGTAAGTAAAATAATTTCCTCTTTATGCAAAATCCTTTATGCAAATATTCAAATTTCGCGAGCAATTACTCAAAAGTAACTTACAATCGCTGCGAGAATATCGCGTTAATAATAGACATAGGCTAATTAGCAATTGGATATGCCGTCAGTGTCACCGTGAAACTAAATTCAGCTCTTCACGGGGGAAATTAGGAATTTCCGCAAAATTTTCATCGATATACACATTGGTTTACTATTATACCGAATTTATTTCTAGCAAAACAAATTTCCGATTTTTCGCGAAATTGAATTTCTTTCATATGTCGCATTGATCGCGCTGCGATGGCGTACATCGCGCGCGCGAATTACTCCATTTGAAACTGTCGAAGCGTTGTACTTTTCGACGAGATTAAAATAATCAAATATGGATTAAAATCTCAAAACCCGATGGAAACGATTCGTCTGTACAATGGCACGATCAATGTAACGTGTGTTCTCTCTCATTTTAAATCGAAATTACTTAAATCGAAGCAACAAAAAATAATGTGGTGAGTTAACGAATTGCGTACATCATTCATTCGCCGCATCCGTATAATAACGTGTATATATGTATCGTTCATTAAAAGAACTCCGGCTCTGATTAGACGAAACTCTCAAAACGACGACGGGATAAAGAGTAGTCGCGGGGCAAATGCGTCATCCGCCGTCGCCGTTGTCTCTCTGCCTGCATGTTTATTGCAATTACTAAATGAAATCGGTGCGCCGATACCTATTAAGCGCGCGTGCTAAATGCACTCGCGTCCGCCCGATGCACTCTACGTCGCTGCCGCGGATAGCTTGGCAGCTGCGTGTAATAATAATTACGAAGCGATACACGATAACGAGTCGCCACCGGTACGCTAACGATGCACCCGCATCTCTCCCCCCCCTCCTCCGTTTCGCTTTCTCGTTTTATTCCTTTTCCGACGTCTCCGCACTCGCAGCATCGCCCTCCTCCATCCTCTTTAGTGCTCGCGATCTAATATAGTATGTACTTTTCTGCAAAGTTCTTCATTACTCATTCATCCTCGCGCGCGCGCCGACGACGTATCTCCATTTTATCCATTTTTTTTGTTGCTTTTTAAACTTTCGCATCCCATCACTTCATTTCTGCGTTTCGGATGCGCGCAAAAATGCTTACGCGCAGACGGACGACTTGGCGTACACGTAAACGCTCTCCATCGCTGCAGCTTCTCTCATCCTCCGCACCTTAACGTCCGCGGGAATTATATATATTTCCAGCTGGAGAACGAAACCTCGGGCGTATGTGAATCATTAAAATGTGAACGGGCGCGAGAACGGCAGTTCTCTGCCCGGTTGCCGCGGAACGCCATCGGCGGGCAGCACGCGGTTCGAGAGCAAATTATCTTGCTTAATTAATGTCGCGCGGGCGAATAATTGGAGAGGGTGTGCGGGAGGGAGGAAGCTTCGTAACTCGAACCATCACGAATCGATTTCTGCCTTCCTCCACGGCCCCGCCGTATATATACTCCTCTCCCCCCCTCCCCCCCGCGAAACTCCCCTATCGCGTTTTCCTCCCGTTCGATCCCTCTCGAACCTGACTCCTTCTATATCGGTTCCTCTGTGTTTCACTCTGTTCGGCCGCTGTAATTTCTGCGCACGAAGCGTTTGATCTACGCTTTTGCGGAGATGAGACGATTAAAAAATGCCGTGGCGACGATGATGTTTCGGCGGGCGCGTGAACCCTTCCTTTGCGCGCGCACACACACACACCCTCTCTCTCTCTCTCTCCCGCTCTCTCGAATCCCCTCGGGCGATGACGACGAGGTCCACCGTCGCCTCGCATCCCTTTGTTGACTAAGCAACGATGCCCCGGCTGAACGACAGATTATATCGGTTTATCGGACCGATGCAGTCGCATCATTGAATGGTGAGTGTATACTTTATGAGGGCCGCGCACCACTGTACGACCCGTCGATTTTACGCCTCGCCCCGGAAACTCTCGAGAGGAACGTTTAACCCGTACATTTCCGGGCGGATAGTAGCACAACGCGCGCATGAATAAGTAATAAAGCCATATTAATGTTCGTTAATACCGGAGACGTATTAAGTAATAAAGTTCGACTAATTCGACGTGTTTGGCAATCAAACAGCATTAGATATGAGTGCGACTGCATTAGATTAAGCTATAGGTACGAATCCAATTGCAGCGTCCGATGGGGAAGAAAAAATTACATGCTGCCCAACTATTTGTTCAAAAAATTTCGGTTTAACAAATAGATAAATTAATAGACAGATTTGATATTTATAATATTATTTTGTCAAATATTATTGAACTATTGTACTATTATTAAATTTGATATTTGATATTTATTATATTTCGCAATTCGATTAAAGAACTTGTCGGACAAAATTTATCTTGAAACATACAGCCTTTTGTTTTTCACGATATCAATAATCGATTTTTGAGAAAATTTTATGTGTATTATACACATTTATACAATAATTTTTCAATCCTATGGTTTTCAGTTTAAAATGATTTAAGAAGAGAACAATTACGTAAAAAAATCGCAGTTGAAGTCCAAGTCTAAACTTTTAAACTACCTTTTAAACAATAGCTTTATTTTTAATTATTTTTAAATAAAATAATTAATCGAACATTTAAATTGCCATTAAAATATGTGTATATATCGACCAAATTGAATTCTCTTGTCAATTACGACGCAAGTAATTATATATTTCTGTTCCAACGCTTTCTTAATTGAACGGAATTAATCACTATTTCCGGCGACATTGACAAGTCTACGAAGTGCCAAGTAATAATGACTATTATTTTCGAGATTATAGACAGGCAAAGGTAGAATATCGACATTGATTTTATTTTAAATATCTCGAGAGACGACAGTGTCTATTTTATAACCTTGGTGTTTGTTTTAGTAACGCTCGCTGTCGAGTACGTAAACCACTGTGTTGTCATTGGAGCGAGCAGGTAGCGAGTGACATAGACCGCTCCGCACATGTCACCTATATTTTGCTACATATCTCTCATATTCTGTTAACATGATCGTGACAAATATTAGAAAATACCAAACGCTATCTGACGATTATTATAACACACGATTACGAATGTTAGAATAAAAAAATTACGATAGCGAATTGTTTAATGAATTCAAATTGCGACGATTTATACTTTTCGAAGCAAATATTTCGTGCAATTTAAAATAGAAGTATATGGGAGAGTAAAAAAAAATTATAAATTATCGTTTCACAATATTTATGGACGATAATTATATCTTTAGCAACGCTTGTGTGGATTCGGATATCCTTTATCGCATTTTGAATTCCGGCTGAAATGTAATTTGCCTACCGTTTTGAGATCACTAACGCGGAATAATGTACGAATCGCTGCCGATTTGAATCATTTAAATATCGAGAAGCTATATTTCTCTTGATAATTAATTTAAAATAAAAGAAATGAAATATTTAGCGTACTCTTATTTCATGGCACATTAAATATTTCGTGGCGATGAGGCGAGTGTTGGCATTCGTTTATCGCGATCAAGCGTTATGTATACACAAAGTCACCGCGCCATTATTCGCGCGATGAGACTCGAGCTAGCGGCTGGTATAATTTTTTCAACGATACTTGTGTTAGATGTGATACCTCGTATATATATCGTGTTTTAAATTTTGTTCTGATTTCACCGTAATTCACTCTTTGTCGAATTGAGAGCACGAATAAATCGCAAAATCGCGAATGGTTAATTCCTATTATAAATAAATCACGCGATATATTTGCTTCGATAAATAATTGTCGCTTCGAAAATCATGATATACTGATCGTGTTTATTAACGAATATGTATTTCATTGGTTTTACGCGTTCGAAATATATTGCGCTCTTTGAGACTTCGTTTGTTGTGTTAGTTAACAAGATTCGTGGGGATCGAGCAAACCGTATACTGAGTTTCGTACCCCTTTTCGCGTTATTCGTCTGTCGAATATACAACAGTAAAATACACGTTGCGTGCAATTAACGTTGGTAGTGTTCTACAAAGTGCCATGCGATTATCCTATTCTGGTAATTAGTACGCGCAACTGTAATTAATCGTCTTCTCGTGAATGTTGTTTTACGAATGCAATGAAACCATGGACCTGAGAGGAGAGAGAGAGGTTTGGAACGTATAAATGTCTGACGATAGAGTAACGATGGAATATATAAATAATTATTTTTTACATTAAATTATTATATCTGTTACTTGCAAAATTAATAATTTTGTCACAATATTCATACGCTAGTTTTATGGCGTCAAATTTTACGGGAATAATCATTTTATTTCTCAATTAACATATATTCATAATTTCTTATCTAAATGTAGTTATTAAATCGTCTCTGTATTTTGCAGATACAAAACTTCATTTTAAATATCTCATCTAATATCTTCTCGAGTTACGTAATGATTAATAAATATGGACCTAAAGCTTATTCGAGCGTTCGTTGTCAGAAAAAAACAATTAGGTACCTATATGTGTGTATATTTCATAATATATCAATTTGCGAATATTTTTCGCGACACTGAGATAAACCATAATTAATTCACATATTTTCCCGTTGCAACACTTAATCGGATTTAATGCCATCAAAATTTGTGACATTTTATATGATGCATATAACATATAAAACAATTACTATGTTGCAATTTTATGCAAATAAATATCTGTCTAAAATACTCTTATATATAAATATAAATTATACTATATATACAAACTAATAATAACTGTAATCAAATGTATGAAAATTAATGATATATCGTAAGTGTAATGTATATCAAATTTCATACTTGCTGTATGATATATAGCTGTGATATATAGAAAATGAAATATTTGGAATGCGAATTAAAAAATATAGTTATAAAATGAAAAGCAAACAGTGTGTATAACTGTGAGTCACAAGCGTGCGCTGATATAATTCGATGATAAGGACTTACATTGAACGTCAATCTTGGCGGGTGAGCTCTCGATCGAGTAGCCGGTTTCCTCGTGTGTGGCCACGCAAACGAAGTTCCCGCTGTCCAAGATTCGATTGACCCTAGTGATATAGAGATCGCCCTCGACCTGATGCCTTCGCGGGCTGGGAGCAAGCGGCTGTCCGTCTATCTTCCACGAGTATTTAACATGCGAGCTTGGCTGAGCTTCACATCTCAAGCGAACCGGAAGTCCTTCGACAACCGAGTGCTCCGCGGGGCTCACCGAAAAGTAGAGATCGCCATCTTGGCCGTGAGCAGGTGTCGCTATGAAAGAAAAAAGAAATATCGTCTTGTTAACAATATAACATCGATCAATCGATAAATATCGCAAATATTAAAAATCGGCCGAAAATTACACTGCCCGACAAATTTAAATTTTTTTTCTAGATCACGAACGGAACAAAGTGATTCTTACAGACTTTTGTCGTTGAAAATAAATCCATAAATAAAATTGTTCTATCATGTAACGTTTTTGAGTAAACTAAACTTAAAAGTGCCGAAAACGACACTTTTGTTAATACTTTTGAAATAGAATGTCTCAAATTGCTTAAATCCTCAAAAAATTATATTTATCTACGGACTTAAATTCCCTTCTTTTCATCGTAACTGTTGCTTAAAGCCAATACAGTAAGGTGACTTTTTTTTATCGCTGAAAACGAATTCGTAAATGAAATTACTCTATCACGTCATGTTTTTGAAATACTTTAGTTCAAAAGTATGCAAAAATGTCATTTTCGGCAATTTTAGATTTAATTTTTTTCAAAAACGTGACGTAATATAGCAATTTCATTTATGAATTCGTTTACAATGACAAAAAAATTTGTAAGAATTACTTTGTCTTGTTCGTAATCTAAAATCTGTGTCGGACAGTATTATTGTTTAACAACTTTATTGCTACTATACTAATTTAAGATGTAAAAATTATTTCTTCAAGTTAAATTTCTAAATAAATAATAAAATTAAAGTTTCCATAACATATAATAGTTTTCTTTTCAAAGACTAAGTTTGAATAGCGGAAAATTGCGATAATTGAGTCACGTATCATCGCATGTACGATCGTCAATGAAAAGAGCATTTACACGTGTTCAATTTCAAGTTGAACGATCATTGGAGATACAAAGAGACGGCCGAACCGAAACGAGCGGCGTCGAGTGCGCGGTGGGTAAGAGCAAAATTCCCGCAACGAGAATCGCACGTTCAAGCGGTATTTCTGTCCGTCTGTGAGTGTCCGAAAATGGGAGATGAGAAAAAAGGGTAGATGGCTGGTATAAATGTACAATATGACACATGTAGGTTCGGCGATTCGCCCGGTCCACGAGTCCGGCGAGCGTCGCGCGGATTTTGCATACACACAATGGCCGCACCGGTGTGGATTAAATCCTCTGTATTCCGGGGCGAAAATCGATCGGTGCGTTTCTCCGCGCCACGGCCGCCGGCCGGCAACACGTTGTACGTACGTTGCACCGCGCACGCTGAACTGCACCCGTGTGCACTCGGCACGTTCGCCGTCTCTCGTGCACCATCGATTCTCTCGTTTACGCAACGGCCACTGCACGTCTGTGGAAGTGCCTGGGAATAATTAATCTGTCGCGGTCGCGAAATATTATACATCGCGTATGTATTACAGTATACTTCGGGCTCAAATTTCAGGGATTACGCTAATGAAAGATCGGTGCTTTCTCTCCCTACCCCCCCCCTCTCCCGCCCGACCCTCGATCAATCACGCTGATTATTCGTATTAATTATAAACGATAGATCGGTGATTTCGTGAAAACGTAATGCGAGACGTTGCTGACCGCGTTCAAATCATCCAAACAAGAGTTGGTTTATTTACTTCCATCGAGCCTGGCCATACGTTCGAATCCGACATTTGTGGCTGTCCCGAGTATTGCTATAGCGCTTCCAAATATCGTCTTACTGGAGATATAATGTATAATAATAGGTATATTCTCTAATGTTCGGCGTGTAATTTATTCCGGCTATAGTAACAAATGTCCCGCGGTGATCCCGAATGCTATTTAGTTTTAACCGTCGCACCGTGTGCGCTGGGAACCATAATGCACGGTCATAAATCTATCAAAGAGCGGGACCCCAAGCTCTTTTATTTATCTTCGCGCGGACCGTGCCAGTCACCCTATCTATAATTGTGGATCCAGGTATTTCCTTTGGTCTCATACCGCCGCGGTGTGTGTTCTATGGTTTTAAGTTTCATAACTGTCAAGAAATGAAGCGTGCACATATTCGTGTATTTTTTTTTACAATCTTTCCCTTTAAATTTTAGTAACACAAACCTTGTGAATCTTTACCTGAAGTAAATGTACAATCGGAAAAAGAGTTCGACAAACTACTAAACACTGTTGCTAAATTGTAAAAATGTTTTGTGCAACAGTTACGTGGTCAGTATGGACAGTGTTGACGTAAAAATATTGACCCCACTAAACATTTTGACCATTACGTTGTCGAAACGTCATAACATCTCGGTAACATTAAATGTCCTGCCTCTAGGACGTTCCAGAAAAATGTTTTGTTTGTAACGTTATTACAACGTACAAGTAACGTAGCAATCGATTTTGCATAATGACACATTCCTGTTACGTTGCAAAAATCTCACAAACGAATCGTTCCTTTGAACCGTCGTAGAGGTATAGGGCATTTGCTGTCGCCAAGATATTGGTGTAACGTTTCAACAACGTAATGATCAAAATATTTAGTGGCACAGTATTATTGTTAAGTATATTATTGTAATTAGATATGTATGTATATTCGTTTATTATAATTATACGCGAATTCGTATATAAAAATACTTCTTTCTACGCAAAGTCCGTGGTCCATGCGTGCGCAATGTCAAAGAATCCATTGATTTCGGAACTGCGTCTCGTCAGAAGGTAAATCGTTTCTTTTTTCCGGTCGTAAATGGCGAAAAAAATTATCCCTAAAAAAATATCGTCGGTTTATCATTTGTTAGTTCGTTGATCAGAGTGATCAGTTCCCCGATGAGAAATTAGAGGAGTTTCAAGCTAATAGGACAGGCTTTACGATGCCTTTTCAACGCGATCATTAGGCGGTATCTCCGAATGCGGTTCGATGTCAATCTTTATCAGCAAGAGCTGAGAGAAAGCGGGAGAAAGAGTCGCGTTGCAGCCTAAAAAAAGAATGCGCGTTTACGTCCGCGTCGTCTTGGTTGCCGCCGGTCGTGAAACCTCCCTGAGGGGTAAACACGACCGCTTTTACGACCTACTCTCGAGATTGGCTTCCTCCCCGAGCTAAACATCTCCTTCTCCTTTCTCTTACTCTTCTCCGCGCCGACGACAGCTGCAGCCGCGCCGCTTTATAACGTTTACACAAGCGGTCCGATTTTTCGACTACATCGCCCGACGCTGAGTGCCTGCGCACGTCCGACGTCTACACGGTGACACGTAGAATTGTCGACGGGTAGTAGGGTAGTTGACGTAACGTGACGGACTTCAAAAGAGATGAACACGACCTAAAGCCGCGCGTGAACATTAGATATCTGCCTGTAAGAGCTCGGTTTTATGACGTTGGCCAGAAAATCGCCTTTATTTGGTAATTAAATAAAATTACAATTTTTATAATAAAAATAATAAAACAAAAGTCGCTAATTAGCTGGGAATTAAATGAAAGCGAAATATTATCTCTCATATTTTATATCCATTCTTAAAAATCTCTTACATATTAAAATAAATAAAATTAAAATATTATTTTATTTTTATTCCAATTTCGTAACGTGTAAAAATCCGGAATATTAATCAGCAAAAAGATTACAGCAGGATTAATCAAGTAACTTAATAAATATATCATAGAGATATTTCTATTTTAATTCCTTAATAACTCTAAGGGTATCATAAGATAATGATAAAATATCTTTCCCTTATGCAACTCCTTCCGGTGAATCGAAAAGCGACGAGAAAGTAACTCGTCTCAGCGCGGACGCAAGGGGTTGTTTTCTCATAGCCGTCTGGGGTAGTTTCGCGAGCACGTCCCTCTCATCGGAGCACTTCTTGATTATTATTCGTGGTACATAGCGCACGGTCCCTCTTCCAGACGTCATAGGTCTGGAAGGGAGAAAGTTCGTGCTGGTATAGAAGCGGAACTTGGCTCGTTATGCTACGGAATCTTTTTCCCGATGTGTACACGCGACCCCGGTAACGACAGTCTTTAAATCGAAAGATTGCTTTTGGAGCCGTTAAAAAGTTTTCGCATTTCCATAAAATTATCTCTGTAGTAAGTTTAAATCAGATAAAATAATTCGCGACTTGAGTGCATCCGTCCGACGATTAAAATTCTAATAATAGTCGATCTTTCGATAAAACGTCTGAAATCAAATTGCGGTTCGCCAATTATTGATATTGTATATCGTCGCGATATGTATTTGTACAGATCGGACATTCCTTTCTATTGATTATCCGTAGTAAGTTTAAATCGAATAAAATGACAATTCGCGACTTGAGTGCATCCGTTCATCAGAACCTTAAAACAGTTAGTCTTTCGATAAAACATCTGAAATTAAATTGTGGTTCGCCAATATTGATATGGTATATTGTCATGATATGTGTTTGTACAGGTCAAACATTTCTTTCTATTAGTGAAATTAATCGGTATTTTAAATGTTGATCTTGAATTTAGTAAAGACTAATAATTATATATTATATATTATTATATGCAATCAGTAAAGACTAGAATAATTATGTATTATATATTATTATATGTAAATGATAGAGCTTTTTTTACGGATATATATACGTACAATTAAATCTTACAATTAGGCAAATTTCTTGTACATAAATACATGCCAACACAAACAGAATAATAGCAATATTTATATATCGAGCCTTCCTAATTTCCCAAAAGGCTCTCGCAGCGCTTCTCTTCCCCCTTGCAGCAGAAACTTCCTGTATCAATTAGAACGGCTCCCAGCATGGATATGTGTAACGCACGCGAATGCATAATTCATTGCGTGCACATAGAATGCGCACTTTATCACGCGGCTCGCAGCTGGTAAACCACGCGGACATGAATTATGCGCGGGCCATCATTTACGACGAAACTCGCACGCGCGTAAAGGGAAAAAATTCGCCCTCCTCCTCCTCCCCGTCCTCCGTGTATCATAACCGATCCTTCAACACACCCTCTCGCGTCATCCGCGCACACGAATCGCCGTGCGTTTTCACGCGGGGGGGGGGAGGGGGTGCCGAAGTGTCTCATGCATGTTACGGTCTTTATACGAGACGCTGTTGGGTGCAAATAATTGCGTTCACCGTGCCACCTTCTAGACATTCCGAGTACCATAAAGAGTTCACGCTCTCAGGACTCGCTTTCGCGGCTCCGGGGGGGAGGGGGGGGTTCGTCCTGAGAGCCGCTGCTCCCGAGAGGCTGCGCCGAGACAGGAGACGCGTATACATAAGACGCGTTTATTAAGAGACAAAAAAAATAATAAAACAGGAAGTACAGGAGGATAAAAAGAGGCAAAGGCAAGGAGACGCGAGAACCCGGCGAACACTGACGCCCTTTTAGCGAGGGTAAAGTGCAACCGCTCGGCTCTTGCCCCCGCGGGAAGAACAAGAAAGAAAGAGAAATAAAATGCGACGGATGACGACGTGCTCCGAAACGATGAAGACAACTGCGACATGCGCTGTTATTTTCTATTTTCAAGAATCCGCTGTTTGAAGCTTTAGGTACGTCGTTTCCTCGCTACGGATCAAGTACAGAATTTATTTTTAACTCACGCAAATACGACGGATAAGATTGAATAACAAATAAACAGTCGCATATCAAAGTTCTCGGATATCAAAGAGAAGACAGCCTTCATCATATTTCATTCTCAAAATTAATTAATTAATTATTTTTCGTCGTGTTAGATAATATCGTAATTTTTAATCGTTTCATTTTTGTGCTCGTTATTATGTATATTCGTTTTAATATTAAAAGATATTGCAATCGTTTCTATCCGCTTATTCGACTCTCTGCTGGTCAAACGAATCGCGAAAGCGATCAGGAAACAAAGTTACCGCGCTGCAAAAGTGCAACCGCTGTGCAGTGGAGCTCGATGAAAAAAATACAAGAAAGAAAGGGAGCCCGGATCTGCTCGCGATTCTCATTTACGGGATATCCAGTCAAAGGGAGAATTCGTTAGGAGAAAGGAAGATAGATCCGACGCGAGTGCGGAGTGTGTGCCATTTTCGAAGTACGCATAATAACAACATGAGCGAACGAATTTCAAAGAATCCACTATTCGGCTGCCTCTCTCTCTCTCTCTCTCTCTCTCTCTCTCTTTCTTTCTCCCTTTGCCCGCTCCTCGAAATATATTATCCACGCTTCCCGGGGCGCTATCGCGGAGGTCATCAAACGCCTGCGCTCGCGGCGAGGCGTTTTACGCGCTTTGAGCTACCGTGACCCCGCAATCGACGGTGGCGGGAGGGAAAAGACGCCCGGAAGGGAAGACGAGAAAGGCGTGTGTTTCCTGCCGAAAGATGAGCCGGAATTTCGGTATCTCTGACGATAGAAAGTTTATCTTACGATTCCACGTGCCGACGGGAACGACAAGCGCTGGATGAAGGAGTTCTGTTTCCGAGAAAATTGCGAGCATGCTCCGATGGGCGTGCATCCCTCAGATAACATCGACTCGAGATATCTTAAGTCTACGCCGTCAGGCGCTCGTTAGTAATTTGTTATCTACGTTTGTGCAACGTCTTCATCTACTGCTTAATAAAAGACCTAATCGTTTTTTTTTTGTTACAAGGTAATTTAGCTTGTGAAAATAAAAATAATTTTAAGACGTATCTATATTTATCTATGCGAAGTAATGTAATTATTTCGTGTTAAATAATTACAAAACGTGTGAGAAAACGGGTCGCGACAAGATCCCGAGGTGCTCAGAATTGGATTGAAATTGCACGTATATACGCTCGATGCGCATCCGCGTCGTAAATACCGCGGTCGCAAGAACAGTCGCGACGACACGTCCGAGTATGTACGTGCGCGTGTCGCGGCCGGCATGCCCCGAAAAAGGAACACGTCGTCGGTTTCGTTCTTCATACATGTTACGCGCCACCCGCGTCTTTATTAGCCTCTCTTTCTCTCTTTGTTTCTTGCCGGAGTCGTTTCAGCAGCCCAAGGGATCAAAGGGCTAATATGATTTCTCTCTCTTTTTCTCTCTCTCTCTCTCCTTCCTTCTCGCCGCCGCTCCCTGCAGCGAGACACGCGTACGCTACGACGTCACGCAACGTCTGAACGAGAGGAGAAGGAAATGAACGAGCGAGAGCGAGCGAGCGAGCGGCTAATAACCCCGCGAGAGAGCGAGAAGAGGACGCGAAACGCGCCGCCGCGAGTAATCGCGCAGCACGCTGAATAACATTCGGCGTATAAAATAAACGCGCCTGGCCTGGCGGCGTACAAAGGGCCCTTAGTAGCGAGCGGTGTAAAAAAAAAAAAGCCGTCGCGTTTGCGGGAGAGGGAAAGTAGGCGAGAGCTGGCGGAGAAAGAGACGGGGGGGGAGGAGGAGAGCGAAAGAGAGCCCGGAGACCTCACCGACAGGGAAGACAAGAAGAAGAGGACGATGATCGCGCGAGCGGGCGACGCGGGGGGCCTCGCTCTGGCCGGTGCCATCTCCGGCTTCTTTTCAGAAGAGGAGACGGGGACGTCTCCTGAGCTCCCGCGGTCTCCCGGTTCTCCGTCCGTAACTCGAGACGTGTAATTAGGAGCACCGGACCAAGATGAATGGCCAAGTGGTGCCGGTGAGTGGCGGCGCGGCCTGGACGGGACCGAGTGAAAGAGCAGAGAGAAAGGTGAAGGAAGGAAGGGGAAGGGGGAGGAGGATATATCCGAAGGGTAGCAACCACGGGGCACCATAGCGCACTCGAGGTTTATCTCGTACATTGCGCGCCTCTTTCCCCCTTCCCCCCTCCCGTTCCTCTTAACTTTGGCGGTGGCCGATATTGGGTACAGATGTATATACCTACGTAATACCGCACGGCAACCACCTCTCCCTCCTGCTTTCCCCCCCGATCCCCCCCGTTGTGCGCCGAGTCTGCGTACACTCGTCGCTTCTCGTGTAGGTGTGCGCGGCTATCGAACCGGTTCCTCCTCTTTGAGAGGAGAGCCACCGGCACCGTCATGGTGGAGAGTGGCAGCATCCTTTCCTCACCACTTGGACCTCGTCTCGCCGTCGAATCCTCGTGAGAGTCGGGGGAGGATCCGCGAGGAGGGCGCAAATTGGCCAGCTCCGATTTAGATGAGAGAATATGTCTCCTTTTTTTCCTCGCAACTCTTCAATTTGCGTTGCAGAGAGAGGAACGGTATAATGAAAAAAAAATGATCTTCCCCTCTTTGTCCCTTTTTCATTTTTTTTTTTTTTTTTCGTTGAAAAGCGGCGTGATAGCCGAGATAGTTGAATAGAGAATGGCAACAAGATAACGTGTTTTTAATAAATTCGCAAACCTATAGATCACGATGTTTGAAATAATTTCTAATTCCGCTCACGAGTGCGGCGAGAGAATGGAGGCTTGAGAGAAGAGCAGCATACAAATGTACGAAAAATGTAATTAACCCAGGGAGCTGGGGGTTTGTTTTCTTTTCACGGAATGCGAGCTTGTTCTAAAATTCTAAATCATATGCAAGCAATATTTGCTATTTTAACTGTCTAAGCAAGTTGTAAAGTGTTAAAAACAGTCGTTATAAAGTGCTAACGAATAATCGGTGTGTAAGCAATGTATGCGCAAAATAATATGTCAAATGTCCTTAAAAGTTTACCATGCTCCAATCTCACCAATGTCACGCGAGATACAAATGCGAATTGAGTGAAAACAACAAGCATGTATACAAAAGAATAGTTCCTTCGGCGCACGCGAGTATATAGATCAACAAGAAATAGAAGTCATGCAGGACATTCCGAAATCTCTTTATGCACCACTCGAGATGACGTTAATCGGTACGCTTAAAAAGCAGGGCACGTAACGACGAAATATTTTACTCGGCGAGTTACGCGATCTTATCGCGAAATAACAGCGTGCAACGAGCGTGTAACAATGCTCCCGGCGTAACGTATCGTGCTTACCGTATCGCGCCGATGCATTCGCCGAGATATACCTTACCCGCGCGGTTCTTCGCGCACGAAATGATACCCCCTTTCCGCCAACGCGATATCCGACCGCGTAACTTCAAATCAACCCCCCTCCCCCCGCCGGTCCCCGCTATCTCCGTGAATCGATAGCACTGTAAATCTCCGACGATTGTAAAATATAGTCGCACGGACGGGTAGTGAAGAAATAATTTTTGACCGCTTCGAAACGCGCCTGCGATTCTTTTTTTTTTCTTTTCATTTTTGCGGAGTCGTTAAATCGCCCGGTCGGCCCAGGCGCGCGATTCGGACTCAATTAGTCGTAATTACAGCGTCGGGCGGTCAGAAAAGGAAGAAAGGGAGAGACCGCGCGGGGCAAGACCGGTCGGAGCGGGCCGGAATCGCGAGACGATCGGCGCCAGATTCTCGAGCGGGAAGGGGGAGAAAAGGAGATGATGCGCCGTGTTAGGGAAACTTCGATCGGCTCTCTTCCCTCCGCGTGATTCACCCCGACGACGGGCAGACAGACCCGCGGCGGGTAGCGGGAAGGGAGGGAAGAGAGCTCCGGTATATACGCTAACGCTTACTCCATTCGGTGCGATACTTACACACGCAGGCGAGCAGGGCCAGCAGAGCCGCGACGCGCCGCATCCTCGGATCACGCGGATCAGCCGGGAACAACGTACACAATCGCTATCGCGTGCGCGCGCGAGAGAGAGAAAGAGAGAAAGAAGCACCCCGCGTGGCGGAATTCACGTCGCGATCATTTTCACGCCTGGTTTTCCGCGATAAACTCTGCAAACTCGGCGTGCGCGTGAGACAAAATCAAGTTAGAAACGACCGGCGCGAGGAGACGCGCGATACTGCGGCGTCTGCGGCGACGAACCCACGCCGGCGCGAAGCGACCCCTGGACGCGCTCGGTTTGCTTCGTCGGTCAGCGCAATTGCCCGCGTCGCCACCAGATGACGCAACTTGTCGGTTACAACCCCTAAGAGGGTAATACATATAAAATACCCAACATGTATAGGTTTAATTTCTTACCTTTTGAGTTTTGATAATAATTATTAGATTTTTAATTTTTAAAAAAATTTACACTATAGTTAATATTAAATTAATATTATTAAATTTGAATAGAATAGGGCTCAGTTCCAACGCTATTTTTTTATATTATTAGTTTATTTTATCCAATAAAAATGAATAGCTAAGATAATATCCCACAGGAATGATTGTTTCGCATGTGAGTTTAGCACATTATACTTACATAGACTTTAGTTCAACTACACTGCCGACATTTATCCATATATTTACATGTCATATAATACTCTATATATATATACTCTACTCTATTATTATATGCACACCAATTGTGAGTGATAATAATATAGTATAATAAATTTAACGTTTTGAGGAAAAGTGAAAGCGGAATACAATTTAAAATAATTAAAAAAATATAAATGAGACCAAGATCCATGTTGATACAAATAAACAGAATGAATTTTTATATTTACGATACTTATAATTAAACAATTCGATAAAATAATGATGTAGTTGACGTTTGGAGCGTTCTTGGAAATTTAAAATGTGATTTGTGTCAAAAGTACAAATGCAGAAACAATTTCTAAGACTTATACTGACAGTAAAAAAAAATTGGTTGTTCAAAGGTCCGGAAGTTTACGCTCAACTAGAAGGAGCATGAGTGCATATATGCAGGTAAGCAATTAAAAATTGTTATTCTTAGGCAAATTTTACTGTGCACTACAATAAATTTTACAGCAGTAAAATACAGTAAAATTTGCCTAAATACTATATTGTCCCACAATTAACATGATTTGCAGGATAAATTAAAAAAAAATTTCTCTCTGTGTACAGTGCATCACTGTTCCTTTTGGTTGAACGGAGCACATCTGCATCTGAAATCGGAGTAAACTTATTTTTTTTTACTATCAGTGATCTTAGAGATTGTTCTCGTATTTGTATTTTTGGCACAAAACGCGGGAAGGATGGATAACAATTTTTAATCGTTTACATGCATATGCACTGCTTCTTTCAGCTGAACGAAGCACTTCCGCATCTCGAATTTGAGCAAACTTATTATTATTTTTTTTTTACTGTCAGTGTTCTCAAAGATTTTTTTCGTACTTGTACTTTTTAGTACAAAATGTGAGAAGGATGAATAACAATTTTTAATCGTTTAGATGCACTGCTTCTTCCAGCTAAGTGGAGCATTTCTGGAATCTTGAATCTAAAGAAACTATTTTTTTCCTATCAGTTATTTTAAAAATTATTTCCGCATTTGTACTCTTGGCACAAATCACATTTTAAGTTTTGCTCCAAGAACGCTCCAAACTTTAATTACATAAGATGATGTAATAAATAAACTTATAATTTAACTTATAATTTTTAATTTTTACTTATATTATATTCAACATTAAAAAATTTTATGCATTAAACACGAATTATTGCAATTAATTTATCGTTTGAATCATTTTAAACATTTATAGTGTAATGAATAAGTATTTTGTGATTTATGTTATATATACATATATAATTACTACGATCAATATGCTATATTCTATTTTTCTGATAATTTCAATATTTTAATATCGGAAATAATGGAGAAAAAGTTCCATATATATGTTGAACAAATTACAATTATTTACTATAATTAACTTATATTAATTTAAATCCATCATTTTTAATATTTATTTAACTATAAAGTAAAAGTAACGCTATGTCAATTTTAGTACCTCGAGAATCATCATCACTCATCGCGAATTACTTTCAAAGTATTTTAAATTATCACAGATCAAATGTCCCGCATGCCGACCGATCGCCACGCCATGACAGTTTCATCGGCGCGTTGGTCGGGGAGTGCGGAGCGCGAACCGCTCCGCAATCAATCGTGATTTTCATCCGTTCGTAGTGCATAAGTAACGCGAGTTTTCGTCGGAAGTATCGATTTAAGGGACGGACAGTCGTCGGAACATATCGGTTATCACGAGTCTTCGCAATCAATGCCACTTCGCGGATCGTGATCGACGCCGCGTCACGATGAAACGGTTAAAAATTTCTGACGGTACAGATTCCAGTACCTATGGCGCGCGAAAATAGTCCTTATGCAGCTTGTTTGGAAGTCCATTGATATATTTTTTGGATATGTCGAATACTTGTTAGTGTCTATATCGCGCGTACTGTCTACTGCCCATATGAAAATTCCATCGCTAGGCATCGTTACGATTACGACATTTACGACATATCAATTAACGCGATGTGCAAGAATTTCGTCAAGTAAACTTCGTACGATCGTATTATTTGGTGCGATGAAATTCTTCACGAATTAATATTCGTGTTGATCATCAACAGAAGCCATTAAAAGCTGTGATTATATGGTATGTAGAATTTTAAATATCGCAATTTTGCCTTTCTCTCTTAGGTTAATCATTGAAATTATCAAGAGCAAACGATTATCGATTTATTGTATGTACTTGAAAGATTATTTCATATTTGTATGTGTTTTTCATACTTCGTTTCAAACAGAACGACTTATTATTAAAATCATTCTATTATCCGATAAAAAATTTTATCTCATAATTGGACATTGACTGAAAAATGCACCGACCGGACGAATTGGTGGTCTAACCTGTTACGAAATTCGTTTGACCGTCCACTAACGCCCTCTCAGTGAACATGTGACGAACGTAAGAAGCGATTAGTCGAAACAAAGCAGATGATAACGAAAAAAATACAGTTACCTACTTACGAAATATTGAAATAAATCGCAAAAATCTATTATTAAAAATATATACTATACATACATCGTATATACATTAGCTTTGTTTATCTTTATATTATCTTTGACATATTTTAAATTATCAGGAATATGATTACATGAAAAATTGAGTGAAAAAAATTATACTTACAATTAATATTAAATATTAAATATTTTTAACATAAATATATCTTTTTTTAAAAGCAATTTACACATCACATTGATATCACAATCGTGATTTCATCGTACAAATGAAAATATTTTAATATAATTAGAAAAGTCAGAAATAAAATGTAAATTTTAGAAAATGATTTTTAATATCTGTTATTCTTGTTCTTGAATCTAATTTATTCTTATTGTTACAAATATATATTAGTGATTGCCTGGGTTTGAAAACAAGGAGGTTGCTGCAAGATAGTTTATATTTATACGAAAAAAAGACATAAAAATTTAACAAAAATGTCTAAATCTAATACGGAATTTAACAATGCATGTAAACAAGAAATAATAAAATATAGGATAATAAAAATACAAAATTTTTGAAAATTTTTAGTTTTAGACAGCATAGCATTTTCATAAATATCCAACTTTTAACACAAATATCTTAAAGATCTAAACATCTTAAAGATCTTGAAATTCAAGACGTAAATGCAAAAAATATAATAATTTTAAAAATAATAATAATTTTCTGAAAACTTAAATTATTAAATATAAATAGTAGAATAAATTACATTATTTGTAAATATGACATAATATAACGATGTTGCAATAAAAAGAAGATGTAATATAATCTTAATATAACAAAATAATTTATATGAATAGATAATGTTTAATAAATTTAAAAGAGGAAATTTTTAAGCAGAAAGTTGTAGATGGAAGGATAATAAAAACGTACAATTCAAATTTGTTATATTATCTTCATACATCTTGAGACATGTACGTCGTTGTTTTCCGTGTCGATCATTTCATAAGTATTGGTAATATTTATAATAACAATCTAAACAGTCACATACTTATATTCCTATAGATCTTAAACCATTTTTTTCACTTTACATATGGATCTTAATTTTTTTCTATCTTATAATCAATCAATGTTGGCCACACATCCGCGTAGAGAACAATCGGCATTCAATTTAGATTTCTTTTATAAAGCTCCATCGTCGAAGATCTCTTTTTCCAAAATATTGACAATATTGATTGATAATAATAAATTGTACCAAAAGCGATACGGCAATTAATTGTCTGGTTGAATTTGAAATATTTTTCGCATGTGGATAATAGATAGATTTATCTAATGTTCGCAAAAATTTAATCGATTGATTTGGTCCAAAAATGTAAGTAGTAGATATATAAAGTGTGACAAAAGTCGTCTGTAAATTATTGCGTTTTAAAAAGAAGAGTGACTATAATAATATATTTTCAATTGAATATTAATTTAATAAAAATTGTGTATTACAATATTTGATTGTTCAGAGATAACAGAAGATTCGTGATTCTGAGCAAATCCTCGCGTGAAAAGAATTCAAGCATGTAGAATAAGATTCTTTTTAATGAGTTTTTGTGGAAAGATTTGTTTTGCAAATTGGGAAATTAATTATGAGTATCATTTTAAATTGTTTTTTTTTATATTCTTGCCATTTTTTGTATACAAAGATAATATTGTATGAGAAACAATCCAATACGAATTTTTTGACAGCGGGACGGTATATGCTATTAAATTTATAAAAGGTAAAATATTTTATTGGCATGTGAAATAAGTCTTTAAAAAGAAAATGATCAACAACTTCGATGTCGTAACGAGTTCATTTCGATATTCAGGTAGTGTATTTCTACACGAAAGAATGATACATATGTACATAGAGACCCAGAAATACAAAAGTCATAATGATAACATTATGAAGTCATATGATATCATAAGGATGTCATTATGACATTATTTGCTTTTATGTTCTGCCTGGGGAGACTTGCACTATATATATGCTTTTATATATAATTTATGTACATAGTACATATGTCGTATGTATCTATACATACGCATATATCTTTTTAAAATTTTTTTGTATATTGAGAACTAAGTATGAACGTATTTCACTATCCTCTTAACGTGTGTGAGTCTAAGTTAATTTCCTTGAAATCGTAATCGTATTTATATTATGTACACAATATATAGTTATTTGTCCCGGAGATCACATGAAACGATTATAGTACACCGTTAAAAAGTCGTCATTTGCGACAAGAAAAGAATTACTTGAATTATTAAAAATCATTAATCGAATAACTCATTAACATCATTATAAGAATGGAGCGTAATGGATAAAGTAATGATTTATGCAAATAAAGGACATAATTATGTTATATTTTTTATGGCGACTTTATTTAATGTGTTAATTTCTCAATTGTTATTTTTACGTTATTAACGTGACTAGTTGATGTTAATTAAATTTGCACTATCAAAAAATTTTGAAACAACTATCAAAATATACGAAATATCTTTTTAAAATACCATCCTTTCCATCAACTTGAGATCTTTATGTATTTCTAAATATTAAACAATCATATTATTTAATATAATTTGACACGGGTTTCGAGACGTAAATACAATATAAGACAGATTATGTGGTAGTTAAAACTACCTCGCATACATCGCAACACATCTCACAAAGCTCGCGCGGATCGAAACATCTCAAAGAATATTACACGATCTCATTATGTGTTGACATAAAAACAATTACACAGGATGTCCTATCTAATTTTATCATGCAAAATATTTCTAAAATGCAATGTATATTAAAATAAAACAAATCTTAGAAAATAAAATATATGGTATAAAAAAAAACATTGCATGGTAATAATAACTTTTTTTTATAAATGAAGGTGCTTATTTTATATATATATATACATATATATATATATATAAACTATTTTTATTTTTTTAACGTAGAAATAAGATTTTAAATTGATTTTGTTATTTTGCGTATAAAAATATTAAGATAAGGTCATTGAAAAGTGGTGTTATATGAGACATCCTTTATTTTACAAAGTATTTTCTTTTAAACATATTTAAAAGCATATATTTTTATGTAAAATATGAAATATATCTTATGTAGACATTAATGCTTTAAATGGAATGTTATTATATGGATGCAAATAATAATAATACTTTCTGCGAAATGATATAATCCTTTGTAGAAAGTTTTTTATAGATTGCAGTAGCAAGAAAAAAATATTCTATTTAAATACCTGATTTAAGTATGTGCATATAGGACATCCTGTATATTTAAACTATGCTGTATCAATAAATGCAGAAAGATACGTATGGCACTCTCGATCGGCCTGTACATCCCGCAGCGTCCGAATGCTGGCCGAGTTATTAAAGATATGTTTAGTCTGTATCGACATTTATCAGAAGTAGAACTTCCACGTTTTATTTGGCATCGCGTTACAATAAACTTCGATTCAAGCCATATAACTTCACTATTGTCGATGATATGTACTCAGGCTTCGTTCTTCGATCCTCGCAGGTTCACTTACGATCGCCCCATCCGGCGCTATTGTAAAACCAAGATGAAGTACCTTCGTCTCTCGTTTTGCTCCATGAATTATCAAGGCCGCTTCCTCCGTTGTCCTAACAATCCGATATTAGTGCTTTTACTTTATTATCGAGTCTAATTCGATGCTGTTCTTCAAGCGTCATTTTTTTTTTTACTCCACTCGCACTTTAGTGGTACATAACTGATATTATTGTATATATTTATATGAAAGCTTAGGGAAAACAGAATTATTTTTTTTTTACCACGTTTAACTGATGCGAGGCGGGCGAGAGATATTCCATATTGTTATAGTAGGACGAATAATTTTGATAGCATTGCTGCTGGGAAGGGGTTGTCGTCCACGTTAACCTTTGATGGTCACTCGCAAATGCTCCACTGCTCTCCGTTACCGCCGGACTCCAGATGCTACTGCTACCACCGCCGCTGCTGTACACGGTGCCACCTAACTGTTAAAGAAAAGAATTTTAGGGACATGTAATCGATAAGAAGAACGAATATTCCATGGAAATATTCTTTTAAAACGATTTTCTCGCGAAAAGAAAACGTAAAATACTCGAATACAAACCGACCTATTACATATATACGAGTAAACATTATATGCGTCGAAAGTACTTATAATCCATCCACTTACGCTTGGTGGAGTCGTGCTAGCTGCTAACAGCAAACTAGCGTTTCCCGCAGGCTTATACTGCGGCGAGTCCCTTAAAAGCGCCGGCGAACTTGCCGCTGAGCCGCCCGTGCCTCCGCTCCTGAGAGTACAGAAATGCAGTTATAACAAGCAGATATACAAACACCTAATTTTCTACATTCATATGACGATCGATCGCGTCGCAATTAGCGTTTCCAGACTTTACGCGCTTTGAACGTAAGGGGAAGCGTAACTCTTGCGCAATGCGTATATATATATGTCTCGACAATATCTGTGTCGCGTGTAGCTGCAATTAGAATACTAATTATCAAGCTAATTAAGTTGCCGATTATGTCGCACAGACACATTCCCGTCCGAGATAAAAGTCGTTAGCGCGATTACGGACATACGCCGAAGATAAGCGCTCATTAAGATAAGTGATATTTACAAGGGCGTAGTAGCAGGTACCGCGGCGGCGGGCGTGGGCGGGGTGGTAATTGAAGGACTTTTTCCAGGGGGTGGATTATTAGCCGGGCTCCCCGAGGGCTTTTTCGATCTCGGCGTCTTATCTTGTTGTTGTTGCTGCTGTTTCTGCTGCTGTCGGCATTTGGCTCTCCGATTTTTGAACCACACCTGCAAACACACGTGAAATTTTTACCCGCGATATTACGTGGTTACATAATCAGACGTCCCCTGTACATGGCTGTATTATCATTTAAAAAAAAAAAAAACAATAGTAAGTCGCACATCTGTTGCGAGATGAATCAAGCGATATTTTCATGTTCCGGTGATGCGTAACACAAATGTGATTCAGAACGAATCCGCGGAGAGCCGCGCAGAGCTCTCGCAAAGCTGGCGTAATAGCCAATTATAAGGGAATGCCGGACTGGGACGACTATCAATTACCAATCAAGCTGACTGCAGCAGCGCGAACGAAAACGCGCACGCATATCGGACACGCTTGCTACCAGGCTGCCGTTAATGCAACAGAATTACGAAAACCGATCGGAGTATAGGTCGTCCCACACACCGAGCAACTTCTCTGAATAGAATAAGCCGATTTCGCGTACCAACGGGCTCGCCCCGGTTTGCGTTCAAAGTGTCCACTGGTTTTGCACGAACACCTTGTAATGAAGCTGCTAATTATACTTATGCAGAGTAAAAAGCGTTCTTCTCTCCGCCGGCGCGGCGCACGAACGATATCGATTACACTGGCGGGCACCGTCGAGCGTTTTGATAATGTTCGATTATTTTACCAGTAGATATCACAATATATATTTGCTTGCTATCAATCAGAAAAAAATATCTTCAAATTAAGACTCGAAAATATAATTCGCGAATTCGATATTAAATTATTGTGTGACATGTGATACATGAAAAATGGCGCGATTCCTCTTTGCCCTTAGAAATGGTACATCGGGACGGCAAGGCAGTGTAGGGAGGAATGAAGGGAGTAGAGAGAGGTAGAGAGGGAGAAATGCGACAGGAGGAGAGAGAGTGGAACTTGGAGAAGCCTCGCGCGATCGATGTTAGAAGCGGAGAGGTGAGCTTGGGTTTCTACGGATTTTCTGGGGGACGATACTAACAGCTCTCGCGTTCTTCCGTCGAAGAAGTCCGATGTATGTACCGCCACAACACCAATTCTTTGCTTTCAATAGAACGTCGCGAAAGTATTTTATCACGGCTGAATCGCCGCTCTCTACGCTGGTATCGAGAAATATTGGCAAGACATCAATGTTGTCTTGGGTATTGTACCGTAATAGCACCATCTTACAAGATATTAATTTTCCTTCATTTTAGAGGTGATTATAGATAATAGGCTATATATTTGTATTTAGCTCGATTCATTTTCTTTTTTTTTTATATTTTTATATTTTAATTTATCAATTATAACTCAATCGAATGTGTAATATTAAAAAGTTTAATATATATATATACATATATAGGACTTTGTTTATTTTGTTAAATATAATATTTTTTTGAGAAATTCATTTAAAAATCTCTCCCTCTCTCTCCCCTCGTGAAGTGATATTATCATATTGATCGTGAAGGAAATTCGCTTTAGCGAAGCTACAATAGAAACGAAACCGTCTCGTCTCTGATCGAGAAGTCATGCAAGGGTCCGAAAACGCGCCGATGAGTAAAGCAATCTCTGGTTTTGCAGTCGTCCGACGAACGTGCGGAAGACTATGGGCCATGTTGGGCCCATTCATTCCGTTTACACGGCCATAGGCCAGGTGTGTTCGGTGGCGATTGCGGATGCGACGCGTCCTTTCCGGCCCTGATGAGGGTGGAATATGCACGGACACGTTTTCGGACCCTGTGGACGTCGAACTCGGCACGAGCAAACGGCACGGTGTCAGCCGAGCAATACCAAAATATTGATTCCGGAAATGTCATCCTTCATGTAGGTTTTCGCGGTATTGTTGCACAGAAAAATTCTTTCGACTTTCTGCTATTGAGGAAAATATCAATGGGGGGAGCGTCGTTTGCGATTTTATACGACCAGAGTGAATGAATTTGATCCTTTTTTGAATCATCAAAGAGGGCCCGAGAGGACCGAAACGTTCCGTCTTTTTTGTGCTCGCTTTTTGTACTTCTTCTTAATTTACATTTACCATAAATAATTGTACCACACAATTGCAAATGCACTTTGTATAATTACAATTTTTGTTGCATTTTTCTTTGTTATTATAATTTTGTTTTATATCGAATAACGGTATGATGCTTCGTATATTATTACTCTTCATACATATGTTATATTTGCAATTTGTATTAAACAGAATTTTGCGCGTCGCAAATGTATGAAATTTTCAATTAAATCCTATTAAATTTATCTTTTATCGTAATTACAAATACTAATAAGGTGTTTGACCTAAGAATATATGGATGTTTGTAAGGCGAACGATTTCAAGTTAACTTCAACGAAGGACATATGAGAAAGAATCGATGTTGTCCACCCTGTCTACGTGCCGATGGTGCATATACCCCTCGGTAATCAGACACCGTCGCGCTTTTCGTGGAGAGCCGGAGAGACACGTCGAATTTTTTTACTGCAATACGAAAATGTGTACGGAAATATTTTTTACGCGTTTAAAGTTACGTATTTCTTGAGTTTAAATATTAATTTAAATGTTACGAATAAAACAATATTTAATCATTATTATAGTTTTTTTTTTCCGGTATATGTGCGATAGTATATAAAAATACTTTTGTAAGAAAAGCGTCATCATCAGATTGTTGTCAATGACTTACCTGCACTCTCGATTCCGGTAAATTGATTTTCATGGCGACCTCCTCACGCATAAAGATGTCAGGGTATTTTGTTCTTGAAAAAAGCCCCTCTAATATATCCAACTGCGATCGTGTGAACGTTGTCCTCTCCCGCCGTTGCTTTCTTGGATTGCCTTTGATACAAAATTCTTTAATGTATCGAATATCATGGAATGTCATGGAATTTTCTCTTGATTTACATTTTAATTATGATTTTTCTTTTAAATATTTACGAACGACATCGATATCGATATTTAATTAATGTGTAGTAATCCGTTTCTAAAGATCTTTAAAAAAATAAAGAAATCGCTCTCCTTTCGAAAATAATAATTGGCATTCGAGAAAAAAGAAAAAAAATTTCCTTTTTAAATCGCTAATTTACAAATTGCATTATTTTGCGCGATGTGATATCAACAAATGAATAAATTTCACTACGTTACCTGTACGTTACGGTGTACAGGTCAACTACATTTAATAACAAATCGATAATGATTAATAAAATAAATAGAATAAATGAACCGGTTATTAATAACTAAATTAATAGCAGTAATAATATTTTCACGAGTTGGAAGCAACTTCGGTACATAATGCAAAAGCTTTCACATTAACACGATTAATGAATAATTTTGTATTGTATCATTATTAGCATTTCTGCGCTTTACCAATGTGCTTTCTCCAATTACGGCACAACATTATAATTCATTGCAACAATTTTCCCGCATTTTTAATATAATTATATTAACAATATAAAAATTAACAGATGCACCAGCAATGTATTATTTTGCACTTTATTTATGTTGGTAAACATAAACAAAAATAGAGACGTGTACATAATAATACAATTCAAAGTCACTCCCGACTCGGTTCAATTAAAATTAATAAAATATGATGGGCACTCACAGTAGACGGACTCACCGGCGGGTGTACAACCGGGATAACCAATAGTGGAGTGTAGCGCATCGATCGGCATGCTGAGACCCATGTAGGGCGCCGTCTTGAGAGCGCCATAGGGCCCCGCGGCGGACGCGCCGAACGCCGCGGGCCCAAAGAGTTCGGAGGCCGAGGTGGTGGAGGCGGCGAGGCCCCCGAGATCGGCGGCGCCGGCGCCCCCGCTGCAGCCGGAAGTACCTCCGAGGCTGTTCGGCCACATCACCACCCCCTCGGCCCCCAGCACGACCACCCTCCCGCCGCGGTCTCCCTAAAGAGACGTCCTCGACGTCCAAGTTACAGGTTCTGTCTGAAAAACGACGAAAACGAAATTGAAATTATATATAAGAATTACTCAAGTCGAGATAATTTACACGGAGAGAATTTTCTTTTAAAATTTACCCTGAAAATCATGTTAATTGTGGGACAATATAGTATTTAGGTAAATTTTACTGTGCACTACAATAAATTTTACTACGAAATTTTATTGTAGTGCACAGTAAAATTTGCCTAAATACTATATTGTCTCACAATTAACATATATGATTTGCAGGGTAAATTTAAAAAAAAATTCTCTCCGTGTATCTCATTAAAAAATATATATTTGCTTCATGCAAATTATAATATACATGTCAGATCATATACTTGTCGGTTATCAGAGTAAATTATATAAAATATTTTGAAATAATATAAAGACTTACATGAAGTATAGTATATGAAACAAATAAAAATTATTGTAAGATATTGTAAAATTCAAGTACAAATCGGTTTTCTATCAAAAAATTGCAAACATTATTTATTAGAGATGCATAAAATAAGAGAACAACAACAAAAAATTAATTTCTCTCTCTCTCTCTCTCTCTCTCTCTATCTATCTATCTATCTATCTATATCTATCTTTCTATACCTTTCTTACAAATAATTTTACTTATTTCAATTATTTTCTTTTACAGAAAAATACGCAAGAATCGACTTCGGCATTACGCACCTCACACATCAGACACTTTTTTGAAAATTCTTCTGCCGATTATCAGGTAGACTGTTTCGCGTCATCATGGCAAAGAGAGAGAATAGTAGATGCTTTAAACAAGCCGATTGTGTTGTTCGGTATGGAAATAAGAATAATGACGCGATTGGCAGCTGCGTGCGGGGGATAATCCAACGAAGGTGCAACAGGACTCCGTGGTATTCTCAGGGGAGCCGCGGCTCGCAACCTAATTCCGAAAATGCATCGACGGTCCGAAAACCGAGAACGGCAAACAGGAACATGGAAAGAGGCTCGACCCTGAATACGCGCGCAACACGCTCGCAGCCTTTCCGTTGCGCTCTTAGCCGTTGACTTAAGTCGCGTTTTATCCTCTCCGATTACAAAGTCAGGAACGACTATCTTCCCCCTGCTCCCCCTTCCTGCGTCATCACGGACGAGCCGCCTTCTCCGGTGGTGGCGACTTGTTAATTTGTTTGCCACCACGTTTATTACATCTGTGCACATGTGCGATATGCCGAACGGACGATGGAACACACATTGTTTCCTGTCTCCCGGACGTCGCCGTCCACATGTTTCGGATTAAGGAATACTAATCGGTAAGTAATTAATGCACAGTGAGAAACAATCGAATGACGACAGCGTTACAAGCGTCACGACGCGGGTGTTTGTTGAAATGCAGGACATTCTGAAGATGTTGTCCGGTTTTAAATATTTATTGTCACGTTACTAATTATATCGTAGCCGATTGCCACTATTCGTGTCCAGCGATTTAATTAAAAAGTCTTGACACAAATTAAATATAAATAGATACAAATTAATAATTAAATATCTTTCGGAGTGCTGAATTTTACACAACGATGCAATCCGCGTGCGTGGTTTAAATTAAATTTAAATGAACCGAAGTCGGGATTTTCAATATCATAGTTACAAATGAATTTAAATTGAAGGAAATATAGTTACAAATCTTTTCATGCGAAAAGATTTTTGTTTGCGAAGACACTACTAACTCGTTTAACCGATATAAATGAATGTGGCTGATTCGAGAGATGCGCTTCCGAAATAAAATCTTACATCAGACAGCCTTTAATAACGTATTGTTTCGTGTCTCTTAACTGCGTGCTATATTGAAATCAGATTTCATTGAATAGAACTGCGCCATATATATATATACATATATACAAAGAGCCTCTTCAGAGTACTAATAGAGCTGCCGCAGCGTGAGCCTTTTCGCGCAAATATAGATGAAATATCCACATTCACCCTCGTATACCGTATGTACATTGCATCCTGTTGCGTCTGCAATTGAAATTTGTGCCCGACTACTGTTGAAATTTGTTCTGCTGCAATTTAACTACCGGACGCGTAATACGTATGATAAGTGGCTTTATGACATACCTATCAGGTCGACACACTCTGAACTGAATATAATCACGGTTTCTCGTAAACAAATGCTACGAGTTTTACGCGTATAGTAAAAGAAATTTTAATGTCGCAAATTAGAACGTTAAATTTATCATTAGAGAAATTAAATTATTTACTTTGCGCAATTGGATACGATCCGTATAGCAATTTACACTCTGAAAAGGATAAAATTTTATGCCGATAAAATAACACTTCTCTTTCCGGAATATACATATATATAGAGCGGCGAGCGTTTCATATAGAGCGTTATATCGCGCGATGAAATTACGAATACTTAATATCGTAGACGTAAAAGGTGAGCTCGTGCCGTATTGCGTTTCTAATATTACGTCTCATTACGCTCGCGTGCAAATTTCCCTCCCGATCTCCCCGGGACCGGAATAAAGTTGCTCGTTGAAAAAGAATCCATAGAGTATACACTACCCCGTGACGCCGCCTCTCGTCCCGGTTATATTAAAATTTTGCTCGCTATGAAAGGAAGGGCGAAGAACGAAGAAAGGCGGAGTATTCTCCCGAGTCCTTCTGAAATCAGTCAAGCGCGAATCTCCACTTTTGTGCACTTATGTGCCTCGCGCCGGCCACAAAGCACTTGTTACATGCCACCCAGCATGGGCGAAAAACGCCGAAAACAACTGTCACTGCTCAAAAAAATTTTCAACGATGACTGCACTGCGCACGCTTATGCATTGTTATACACGACGTAAATTTTCTCTCTCTCTCTCTTTCTCTCTCTCTGCACTTGAGAGGAAATTTTTTCTAAAGCGCTAAATAACGATATCATCATCTCTCTTTCTCACTTTATTCATTTCAACAAATATACATCCATATAACTTTTTTCCTAATGCTATTGCTGATTCGTTGTAAATTTACCGTGCGGCACAAAACTACAAAGCTCGAATATAATATCTTTATCACTAAATCTAATTAAATTTTTTTTATTTTCAAGTTCTATAATTATTGCGTTTGAAGATAAAAACATTACCAAAGTGTACTGTCCACAAAGCGGCAGATTTATTTGCACTTTCGTCATATTAAAATAGCGTCAGAGAGAGAAAAATATGGATGGAAATAGAAGGTAAGGGAGAGAGCGAGAACGCGGGCACTTAACGATCTTATTGCAATAGCCAGAAGTCTCTTTATCTTTGTGCACTTTGGTGCGCGGGACAATGCACTTGTTACAGACCGCCAAGTGTGGACAAAATGCCCATTCGATTGGTCCTCGAGGACACTCGAGTGGTCTACGACCCTGCGGAGAGCCCAGGCGAGAGAAATGGTCGAACTAGAGAAAGATAGCTGGGGGTGCCTTTTACACCCGCGCGTACTTTTCCGACCCTCCTTTCCGAAAATCGATCTCCCGCTGCAACGAATTACCCCCCACTCGCGGGGCCCTTCGACTGTTCGGCCCTAGTGCAAACACTTTGCGTTACCAATCGACAGATATATACCGGCATGCCGTCCCTAATGACTGTTAAATCCCCATTATTACGTCCCGGCGTGTGCGCCGCACGGGAGGGAGAGAGAGATAGAGAGTTTACCCTCTCGTCGCCAAAGAATACGATTTACGGATACGTCCGGCGCACAGATCGTATCTGTGCGGATCAGTTAAGCCAACAAGGCGCACGTGCGCGAATATGCATTTCGCTGTTGCATCTTAAATCCGCGATAAATTCCTACGGAATATAGCCCGGAATGGCTATTTTAAACCCTTTCTGTCATCACGTCACTATTTTTGGACGAGTAGCGGGAATTTTTCTTACCTGCATGTAAACACATGAATAAACGAGTAAATTTACTTTCGAGTAAATAATTCCGACTGTGTACCGAGACTGCAGCTAAATATTTTTCGGTAGTTTGTTCTCCAGTCGGTTCGCGCGGTAATAATTCGCGGAAAAACCGTAAACGCGCGAAAGAGGGAATTCGCGCAGAGATGCGGTCGCGACACATCGGAAACAAGTCGCAGCATCCAGATTCATCATGGGGGATGCAACGTCGTTTCTACATTAGGTAGCGCGCGGTTTGCGGCTTCGGTACATCCGGCGGTACACGAAGAACGACACACTGCACGTAGCTATCCCAGAAAGTTAAGTCGCGGCCGCATTGTTTCCAGGAGTATTTGCACACAACCGCATTGTTCCTGAAGAGCCCGGCGCGCTCCGTATAGTTCCACAATGAACGTACGTTGCGTCAAGTACAGCCGTGCGCGCGGAGTTTCGCGAGGAAAGCCAGAAGGTACTTGTGAAACGAGCGAGGCATTAACTGATTTCCATGGACGATTTTTCGAGATTACTGCCGGTGCTCGAAGAGTTCGGCGTAAATGTGCATACGTGCTCTCGATGTGATAAGTTTGCAATAATCTTTACGCGTTAAGTACATTTTCATTCTCATCCCTAAATGAGTAACTTAATATTCTCGCCGTGTTAAAAACAAGATTATTAAATAAAATTAACATTCACGATATTGCACACTGCATTGTTCAGCGAATAATTACGATTTGTTTCCGTTTGAACGGTATACGGAAAGAATTTTCTTTTAAGATTTACACTGAAAATTATGTTAATCATGGGACAACATAGTATTTCGACAAATTTTATGTGATTTTCTCTGTTTTTTTTTTACTGTGCACTTAAATTTGTTGTAGTACATATTAAAAAAAAATAGCGAAAATCATATAAAATTCGTCGAAAACTATGTTGTCCCACAATTAACATGATTTTCAGGATAAATTTTAAAATAAAATTCTCTCCGTGGATATAATATTCATGACACTTAATTCATCCGATGCACAAAAAAGACGAGAAACTCACTATACCTGT